TATATATATATACTACTATCTATATATATATATATATATATATATATATATATATATATATAATAAACTCGTATGTAAGATATACTACGATCAAAGATATACTCGTATGTACGATGTATTTCTATATAACATATACTCGTATGTACGATATACTCGTATATATATACAAGATATACTTGTACATTACGCACTTTCGACCGCGAAATGCGTAACATGGCTCGTCCGAATTGTCGACGCGTACTTAGACTATAGACAGAATAGATGGCGTCCAAGGACGGCCTGCGAGAGAAATTAGTACACAGCCCATTACGAGAAGATTGCGAGATTAGCGTCCGAACAACGCCTCGTGCTTTTAGTTGGTTACCTTCGATGCGGCGGTATCTATCGATGCAATCGTTATGATTTAGAATACGGGCACCTCGCACGCGTGCGTGCGTGCCGCATGGGAAAGTTTGTTCGAGCGCGCTCGGCGAGGTTTGCTTTAAATGTTGAATTCATGCAGAAGGAATGCTATTGTTGCGTTTCAAACGAGCGCGAGAGTCAGAGATTGCGGGGGGGAATTTTATGAAAGCGTTCGTAATGTGAACAACGCGACGCGTTGTGTGTGTGTGTCGTATATGTGACATTGAAAACACATTCGAGGAGCCCGAACGAAAATAGATCGGACACGCCCACGCGACGCGATATAGTTTATTTTATCGTCAAAGATGTTTCGCCCGTGCATGCTCACTCGTCCGTCTGACGACGTCGACTAAGCGACGGGGCGAAAGCCACGGCGATACGGAGCAGTTACTGCGACTGTTTCGATGACCTAACGACGTCGGCTCATTTCCGGTCGTCGCGCGAACCCGCCGTGCATCGCTCGGCTTCGTAACTTCAGTTACTCGTATATACTCACTTATAGCTATGGGACTTTCTTCTAACTAAGGACAATGGCGAATACAGAGGAGCTAGCTTCCTTCTTCACCTCGCAGCGGGAGATATTGCCCATCTCGTCCGTCGGCTATATATTAAATACCACCATTGTGTTTTCTGCAATCAGAGAGCACGTACATCGCATATCTCGGCTGCTATATATATATTAACCATCATGTGTATGAGTTCTGCAGTCAGAGAGCACGCACACCGCATATCTCGGCTGCTATATATAATTAATCATCATGTATTTGTTGTCTGCAATCAGAGAGCACGTACACCGCATATCTCGGCTGCTATATATATATTAATCATCATGTGTATATGATTACTGCAGTCAGAGAGCACGCACACCGCATATCTCGGCTGCTATATATATATTAATCATCATGTGTATGCGTTCTGCAGTCAGAGAGCACGCACACCGCATATCTCGGCTGCTATATATATATTAATCATCACGTGTTTGTCTTCTGCTGCTTGCAGGTCATGACGACGGTACACCTGTGCGCGCGGCTCGCCTGCCTGTTACTGCTGCTCGCTGTCGGCAGCAGCCGCGCCGCCGACGCTACGTGCGACGGCGCGACGATCGAACAGCCGCCGTGCTACTGCGTCGCCGCCGACAAGAGCCTGCGCTGCGACGCCGATCTCGGCGACGTGCACTCGAGCCTGCGCGACGTACCGCGCACCGACCGCGAGCTGCTGATAGAGTACGGCGGCTATGCGACGCTCGCGCAGCGCCACCTACCGGCGCGCGCCGAGCGCGTCTACCTTCCGGGCAACAAGATCAGCGCTGTCGACAACGACGCGCTGCCTGCCGACGTCGCCCACCTGAGCCTCGGCGACAACAAGCTGACGCAGTTCCCGACGGCGGCGTTGCGTCATCTTGAAAACCTCGCCGAGCTGGACCTGCGACGCAACGACATTGAGCGTCTGGGCCCCGACGCTGCACCGGGCATGCCGGCGCTGCGACGCCTCGATCTCAGCTACAACGGACTGTCGGCGATCGACGACGAGGCGTTTCGCGGATTCGCCGGCGACCTGACCGACATCGACCTGAGTCACAACGCGCTGACGGAGCTGGGCGAATCGCTGCAGTACTTCCCGAACCTGCGCTCGCTCAACGTCGACGACAACCGCGTCAGCAACATCAAGCTCGACCTCGGCCTGCTCAACACCGCCAAGTTGGAAGAGTTCAGCGCCGCCAACAACCAGCTGCAGCGCATCGAGAAGCACGCGTGGTGGCGCATGGGCACGACGCTGCGGCGACTCAACCTCGCCGGTAACAGGCTGGTAGACGTGCCCTACATGGCCGTGCGCTTCCTCAAGTCGCTCGAGAGTCTCGATCTGAGCAACAACGACATCGCGCGCCTCTACAACACGTTTCCGTTCAAGTTCGACGAGCTGCGCGAGCTGTATCTCAGCTGCAACCGCATCAGCGAGATCCAGCCGATTTTCTTTTTTTGGGTGTCGAACTCGCTCGACTTGCTCGACCTGTCGCACAACCGCATCAGCAACATCACCGACGACACGTTCGGCTACCTGCCGCAGCTCGGCAGCCTCGATCTCAGCCACAACGAGATCCGCAACTTGAAGGTCGGTCAGATGTCGTTTATGCAGCGCCTGCGCTCGCTCAATCTCTCCTTCAATCGCATCAGGTACATTCCCGAGCAGGTGTTCATCGGTCTGATCAACGTCGAGAACATCGACCTGTCGCACAACGAGATCTGGGACATACCGACGCTCGTCTTTCGCGCCGTTAATCCAACGATACGCATCGTCAAGATACAGAACAACTTCATCTCGAAGGTGTCCGCCTTCGCCTTCTCCTGCCTCAACCTGATGCGACTTGACGCCAGCTGCAACATGATCTCGTCGGTCGACTTCTCGGCGTTCGCCAACTCGCGCTTCGTCACCTTCATCGACCTGTCGCACAACCGCCTCGCCGAGCTGCCCGGACAGCTGTTCGGCACGACTGGCCGCGTCGAGGAACTTGTGCTCAGCTTCAACGACTTCGCAGACCTCGACGCGAAGGCGCTCGAGGGCGTCGACTACTGGCTGAACTCGACGCGCGGTTTCACGCTGCGGCTCGACAACAACCGCTTTACGTCGGTGCCGTCCGACGTGCTGAAGGCGATCCCGACGCTCGGCACGCTCGACCTGTCGCACAATCTCATCGCCAGCGTCGGCGTCGACGACTTCGCCGGCGTCTTCCGGCTCGTTTACCTCAACCTGAGCAGCAACGAGCTGACGAACATCGACGCCGGCAGCTTCACGGGTCTGCAGCTTGACAGTCTCAACTTGTCCGACAACCCGGGGCTGGCGACGACGCTATCGGCCGACACCCTCCGTGGCGCCCTCGTCGGCGAGCTGGTGCTCGACAACGTCGGCTTTGCGACGCTGCCCGACCTCAGCCTCGACGACGCCGAGGTGACGTCGCTGCGGCTGCGCGGCAACCGACTTACGGATCTGCCCGACGGCGCCCTCTACCGGGACACGGAGCAACTCGACGTCAGCAGCAACGCGTTCACGGCCGTGCCGACGCATCTGTGGGCGAGCCTGCCGAAGCTGAGAAAGCTGGATCTGTCCGGCAACCCGATCGGCGAGATCTCAGCCGACAGTTTCCGCGGACTGGAGAATCTCGAGGAGCTGCGACTGAACGACCTCGCCTCGCTACGGCGCTTCGACGCGACGGCTGTACGCGGCCTGACGAACCTGCGCACGCTCGAGGTGACCAACCTCCCCGTAAGCGACCTGCGCATCGATGGCCTGTGCCAGCTGCAGCGCTTAGAGACGCTCAGCGTGCAGGTGTCGAGCTTGCAGCGTCCGATATGCGACTCGCTCAATCCGCGCCTCACCTCGTTCCACCTGATGGGAACCAATCTGGAGTCCGTCAGTGAAGCTGCTCTGATTCCGCCGTACTGGACGGAGACGAGCCACGCGCGCACCGCGGATGGTCGCGGACAGCAAGTCAAGTCATTCGCTCTGACCAACACCAGGGTAAGTTGAAATTATCAATGCAGACCAACCGCAGAGGGGCGACCATGACCGAAAACACACACACACACACACTCACACACACACACACACACACACACACACACACACACACACACACACACACACACACACACACACACGTAGTATATACTACTACTTACTACTACTAACTACTACTTCGCCGTCGTTCGTTACGTACGTTAGTATTAATTAGCGTACGTACGTTACCGGGTTAAGTTAA